CGGCCGGACACGGCAGAACCGTGGAGTAGTGGGCAAGGACTGGACCCCCGGAGGGGTCCGCCAGGGAGACTGGAACTGGCCGACTAAGCGGCGTGAGTGTGGTGCAGTCGCGAAAGAAGGAGCGAGAAGCTCCTGAGTCAAGGGTGAAGGTGTGCGAGACCGTAGGTGGCGCAGTACCAGAGAGAGCAGACTCACCAGCACCTGAAGCCACGGCCTCACCAGTACCTAGAGCAGTAGACGTACTAGCACCGAGAGCAGCAGCCTCACCAGCACCTAGAGCAGGAGACGCACTAGCACCTAGAGCAGCAGCCTCACCAGGGTCAGGCGGTACGCACAGAGAACAGGCACGATCAGCACTAGTAGGCAATGCATACATGGCAGTGAGAATAGCATCAGAGTCACGTGCAAAGATATCTACCCTCTGTCCATGCAGCTCCAGCCAGGTGGGGAGCTCAGCCTCGTCGCCAAACACTGTGCGCCAGTCGTCGCTCAGACGAGCGAAGCAGCGGGACTGTGTGTGACCAAGCGTCCCACAAGGCTGACCAGTCCTAGCACCTGTGCGAATGACGTACGGGCAGCGAACTGTACGCGTAGACCTGCTACACTGAGCGTACCACTCCTGGAGCTATCGGGGCGTAAGTGTCTCACGTGGACGCCCCTGCAGCTGTAGCGGGCCACTGCCAGACGCTCCCAACTGACCAGCTCCAGGGCGACAGCTACGACGGCTACTGCGACAACCCCAGCTAGTATACCACTCACTAAGCTGCTGGGGCGTCAGAGGCTCGCGTGAACGTCGCTGGAGCTGCATCTGGCCACCTGCCAGTAGCAGTAGCAGCAGCAGTAGCGCGGGCAAGGCAGGCGCGGCAGGCAGGCAGGCAGACAGGCAGGCAGGCAGGCAGGCAAGCAGACAGGCAGGCAGGCAGGCAGGCAGGCCGGCAGGCAGGCAGGCAGGTGCTCACCAGGCGAGCAGGGCCGGCGCTCGACGGGCGGCGGCCGAGTAGGCGCACGACAGCGGCGGCGTCGGGGCCGCAAAACCGGCTGCAGAGCAGGGCCGAAGCAGCTGCAGGGCGTGGCCGTCTCAGCGGCAGTAGCAGGGTGGGGCCGCATCAGCGGCAGGTCGGGGCCGTGGCAGCTGCAGAGCGGGGCCGCATCAGCGGCAGGTCGGGGCCGTGGTAGCTGCAGGGCGGGGCCGCATCAGCGGCAGGTCGTGGCCGAGGCAGAGGGCCGCGCGCGGCTCGGCGCGGGCTGCGCTGACAGCGCGTGGAGCTGCTGCAGGCCGCGCGAGGCAGTAGCAGGCCGCGCGCGGCTCGGCGCGGGCTGCTGCGGGCCGCGCGCGGGCCTCGCGAGGCCGTAGCAGGCCGCGCGCGGCTCGACGCGGGCTGCGCGCGGCAGCTGCGGGCTGCGCGCGGCTGCAGCGGGCTGTGCGCGGCTCGGTGCGGGCTGCGCGCGGCTGCAGCGGGCTGTGCGCGGCTCGGCGCGGGCTGCGTGGGCTCTGTGCGGGCTGCGCGCGGCTGCAGCGGGCTGCGCGCGGCTCGGCGCGGGCTGTGCGGGCTGCGCGCGGCTGCAGCAGGCTGCGCGGGCCTTACGGGCCTCTAGGGGCGGCGCGTGGGCCTTACGGGCCTCTAGGGGCAGTGCGCTGGCCTAGGGCAGTAGGAGGCAGCGCTAGGGCTGCTGGACGGCGCACATAGTGCAGCACGTCACAAGGCAAGGCAAGGCAGGCAGGTACGTGGGGTAGCGCGGTAACCGCAGCGGTAGGTGGGCCCGAAAAAAAACGGTCCTACGGACCTTAGTGCTCTGAAACCATGTCAGAATCTAGCAGCAGGAATGAATGAACTAGCAGCATGCAGGAGTACAAGTAGTAAACCCTAATTGGGCTGTACCCCATATGGGCTACCCCACTACAGCCTAGACAATATCCAGCATATATGTTTGACATTTTTAGCACTATTTCTTCATACGCTTCCCTACTACATCATATTCCCTAGCTATAGGAACTGGTTTGACCTCGTTCGCACAACTACGCAGCACGTGGCGCATGTTTGTGCGTTTGCTGGCCTGAATCTGTGCAAGGATAGGCCTGTGCGCAACATGTCAGCTCGCCAACGTCTGGATGCCTTTTTTACCACTATTTCTTCACACGCTTCCATACTACATCCTATTCCCTAGCCACAGGAACTGGTTTGACCTCGTTCGCACAACTACTCAACACGTGGCGCATGTTTGTGCGCTTGCTGGCTTGAATCTGTGCAAGGATAGGCCTGTGCGCAACATGCTACTGTTTCAACGTCTGGGTGTTGTTTTTACCTCTATTTCTTCACACACATCCCTAGTACATCCTATTTCGTAGCCATAGGAACTGGTTTGACCTCGGTCACACAACTACGCAGCTCGTGACGCTTGCTTGTGCGTTTGATGACATGAAACTGTGCAATGATAGAGAAGTACGCAACATGTCACCGTTTCATCGTATGGACGTCTTTTTTAGCAACCTTTCTTCACACATTTAGCTAATTAAATCAATTGCCTTGACATAGGAACTGGTTTGAGTTAATTCGCACAACTACGCAGCACGTGACGCTTGTTTGTGCGTTTGATGACCTGAAACTGTGCAAGGATAGGGCAGTACGCAACATGCCACAGTTTCATCATCGGGTTGTGTTTTTTAGCATCGTTTCTTCACACGTTCAGGTAGCTCAATAAATTTCCTTGCCATAGGAACTGGTTTGATCTCATTCGCACAACTACGCAGCTCGTGACACTTGTTTGTGCGTTCGATGGCCTGAAACTGTGCAAGGATAGGCCTGGCAGTACGCAACATGCCACAATTTCATCATCTGGTTGTATTGTTTAGCACCGTTTCTTCACACATTCAGATAGCTCAATAAATTACCTTGCCATAGGAACTGGTTTGAGCTCATTCGCACAACTACGCAGCACGTGGCGCTTGTTTGTGCGTTCGATGGCCTGAAACTGTGTAAGGATAGGCCAATACGCAACATGTCACCGTTTCATCGTCTGGTTGTATTTTTTAGCACCATTTCTTCACACATTCAGGTATTTCAATGCATTAGCTTGTCATAAGAACTGGTTTGACCTCATTCGCACAACTACGCAGCACGTGACGCTTGTTTGTGCGTTTGATGGCCTGAAACTGTGCAAGGATAGGCCAGTACGCAACATGTCACCGTTTCATCATCTGGTTGTTATTTTTAGCACCATTTCTTCTCACATTCAAGTAGTTCAATGAATTACCTTGCCATAGCAACTGATTTGACCTCATTCGCACAACTACGCAGCACGTGACGCATGTTTGTGCGTTTGATGGCCTGAAACTGTGCAAGGATAGGCCAGTACGCAACATGTCACCGTTTCATCGCCTGGTTGATTTTTTTAGCACCATTTCTTCACACATTCGGGTAGTTCAATCCATTCCCTTGCCATAGGAACTGATTTGAGCTCATTCGCATAACTACACATCACTAGAATCCAAACGCCGGTAACTCTACATTAGATTCTCGCTTCCCTTGCATACCGTAACAATGCATGCAAAACATATCTAGCCTTTTGGTAACAGCATGGCACCTGACTAGGTCACAGAAGCAGCACATAGTTCCATTAAAATAAAATAAATACAAGTCTGTCTGTGATGGCCAGAGAATGAGATGTCAAGTGATACGAACTTCACAGGTATAGCTTGATACGGTATGGTGCTGTTTGTAAAATTTTGCAACATCAACCCTGTTTTGCACAATAGTGGAGGAGGTATAGGGGAAGCAGGAGAGCCACTTAATTGATGATGTAGACTACAATCATGGTGTTTGTGAGCGGTAAAATATATAGAAATGTGAGTACATTTGGAGGCATAAAACAACCCAATGTGAGCATTTGGGCATTCTTTCAGCTGTATGAAGGTAATGAAAACATTGTTCAATCGTTTTCATAAAAATTGCAGCCTTAAAAAAATCAGAACACTTAGCCAAATCTGTGTGGCTTCCATTATGGCATCTATTCTGAAATGTACCGTATTTTGTATAACCAAATTTTAGTTGTACATGTCCCCATTGCCTTGTTACTGACGACATCTGCACGAGACCTCCCTGCGTCACTTCCGTATAGCGTTGGGGAATGTGGGACCATCTGGACTGTTGCCACGTCACTAGAGCGAACCCTTCTGCACCTGTCAGTTTCGCGTTGTGCCTCACTAGACGACGAAGGCCTTCAGACACTATATTTTTGCGTGAGATCTCATTTCGGGCATCTTGAGCGAAATATAGCAGTTGCTCCTGTGTCAGTGCATGGAATTTTCTTACAGTATATCAGACATTCTGAAAAGTTCATACGGATGGCGGGCAGCCGAAACGAGCGCTGCTGACTCAGGCGCTTGTATGAATATTTCAGTTTGGTTTTATGCCAGTGATACATTGATGCCTCAGCGACCAATTGGCATCACACATTTACAACCCCACCTAACAACACCAACCAATCACCGAGCACTCTAGTGCCAACACACACCAGCAGAGCAAAAAACAGAACAATTATAGGGACGATCAGCTTCATGGCTGGCTCTTGTGCCGCGCATGTGGATGCGAGCAGCGAGCGCATAGAAGTCAGGTCGGCACACAAGGTGGTTCAAGGGGTTTGAGTCGACTCAAAAGTCACCTCATGTGGACGCGAACAGCGAGTACGTAGAAGTCAGGTCGGCACACAAGGTGGTTCAAGGGGTGACTTTTGAGTCGACTCAAAAGTCACCTCATGTGGACGCGAACAGCGAGTACGTAGAAGTCAGGTCGGCACACAAGGGGGTTGAAGGGGAAAAGGCGGATGGCGTGGCGGCGAATGTACGCACGCATGAGAAACGAATTGCAGAGGATTGATTGGAGGGCTGGAAAACGCATGCGGGCCGACCGAGAGCAAGTGGAGAGACACGCACACACGAAGCAACTTGGCACTCACTCACTCACGGTGGAGGCCGCAACTCACAGGGCTCAACCCACCCCAGCCTAAGTCCAAGCTAAGGCAAGAGCACTCACTGTGCAGGCCCTAAGGCAAGAGCACTCACTGTGCAGGCCCTGGGGCGAGAGGTCCTGCAGCACGGCGCCACACTCCTTCACGAAGCTCACTGCCACCTGGTTGAGAGTGGTTGAGAGTGGTTGGGAGTGATTGGGAGTGCAAAGGGCACACGCATGTGTGAATGAGACGGGGATGAGATGGAGGGGGAGGGAGGAGGAGGAGCGGGGGGGGGGGGGGGGGGGGGGGGAGACGGACGGAGGTCCTGCAGCATGGCGCCACACTCCTTCACGAAACTCACAGCCACCTGGTTGAGAGTGGTTGAGATGAGAGTGGTTGGGGGCGGTTGGGAGTGGAGAGGGTAGACGTGTGCGTGTCTGTGTGGGTGTGGAGGAGATAGAGGGGGAGAGAGTTCGAGGGACGGAGGCCATGCAGCATGTTCGGCGCCACACTCCTTCACAAAGCTCACTGCCCCAGCCCTCACCTCCCCAGCCCTCACCTCCCCAGCCCTCACCTCCCCAGCCCTCACCTCCCCAGCCCTCACCTCCCCAGCCCTCACCTCCCCAGCCCTCACCTCCCCAGCCTTCACATTCCCCAGCCCCCACCTCACCTTCCCCAGCCCCCACCTTCCCTTCCCCAGCCCTCACCTCAATGCTGTCCTCAGTGGGGGTCGCCAGCTGCAGCGTGAGCAGCATCAGCGAAGAAACCCTATCCGCCTTTCCATGTTCACCAGGTACCACCTCCCTCCCCCCCGCCTCACACCACCCACCCTCAGACCTCACCTCGACGCTGTCGTCCGTGGGCGTCTCCAGCAGCAGTGTGAGCAGCTCGAGCGCCACAATCTCGTGAGCCACCTGCTGGTTCACCAGGTGGGCCAGGAAGCGACACGCTGCCACCAGCACCGGCTGCAGTAGAGAACGGGGGCGGGGCGAGAAGGGGGGGAGGGCAGGGGAGGATGGGGATATGCTATGGGGCAATGGAGGGAGGCAGCTCGAGCGCCACTATCCTGTGAGCCACCTGCTGGTTGACCAGGTGGGCCAGGAAGCTCCACTTGAGCAGCAGCTCGCCCAGCTCGGGGAACTTGGTATTCACCACCGCCACCAGCATCCAAGAAAGAGGTTCCCAGCCAACAGCTGGAGGAGCCTAGACCACCTTTTCTTCTCCACCTCTCACCTTGTCATTGCATCGAAAGGCCCGCCTGAACTGCAGAATAATTCTCTCCAACAGCAGCTCGCCCAACTCTGGAAACTTGGTACTCACCACGGCAACCAGCGCCGCAAACAACAGGTTCCCAGACAACAAAGTCCCGAGCAACAGAAATTCGGCCAATACGAAAACGGGGCCAGCTTGTTCCTACCTCTCACCTTATCATTGCGTCGGAACGCCCTTCGGAACTGCAAAATGATCCTCTTCAGCAGCAGCTCCCCCAACTCGGGAAACTTGGTGTTCACCACCGCAACTAGTCTGCCATCGTGTCCACCGTTCCCCCTCACCTACTCCCTTCCACTTCCTCCCTCCCTCCCCTCTCACCTTGTCATTGCGTCGAAACGCCCTCCTGAACTGCAGAATAATCCTCTTAAGCAGCAGCTCCCCCAGCTCTGGGAACTTAGTATTCACCACGGCCACCAGCGCCGCAAACACGTGCGTGAAGGTCGGACTGGCCATCTGCGACTTGATGCACGCGCGGCACAGCAGCCCTCTCCCCCGCACCAGGTTCTCCCCAAACAGCTCGGGGATGATGTTCTTAATGTTGCTGGCGTTGACCTTGTTGACCAGCCCGTTGATGGACTTGCGCAGGGCGTCCCACGTCAGGCGCTGGTACTCGGCGCTGCTGCGGTCGTTCACCTCCTGCAGCATGCGCGCCAGCTTGAACGGCAGGATGTACGCGCCTCCCGTGCGCCCAGTGTCCCGCGCCGCTGCTGCTGCCTTGCCTGCTGCTGCCGAGCCTGCTGCCGGGCCTGCTGCTCCGCCAGCAGCGGCGGCCGCTGCGGCGGAAGCATCAGCATTGGGTGCGCGCACGGGAGCCCCCCGCCCATCCCTGCCCTCGCCTCGCCTCTCCTCCTCCTCCCACTCGCCCCTCCCCCTCTCTCGCCGTCCTTCCTCTCGCCTCCCTTCCCCATGCCTCCTGTACCTATCATCCCTTCCCCTACCCCTCCCCCTCTCCCTCTCCCTCTCCCACTCGCCGCTGCTCTCACTCCCATCCGAATCGGACCCTCTCCGCCTGTGTCGCCCTGTCCTGTCCCTCCCCCTCCTGCCGTTCGCTCTCTATCCCTCTCCCTCTCCCTCTCGCCATCCCTTCGCCTATCCCTTCCGCCATCATCCTCCCTCTCCCGTCGCCTCTCCACGTCTCGTCCCCTCTCGCCCTCCCTTCCCCTGCCGCTCTCCTTGCCCCTTCCCCCATCGCGATCTCGCACTTCTTCCCCAAGGCCATCCCTCTCCCTCATCTTACCTCTCCCCATCCTCCCCTCACCCATATCACGCTTCTCCCGCTCCTCACTCGCCGCGCGACCCCCGCGCCTCCTCTCCCCCCCGCGCTCCTCCTTCCGCCCAACCCGCGCCCCCTCCCTCCCACCACCTATCTCCCATCGCTCACGCTCACTCCCCTCCTCCTCCACCCCATCATTTTCCACATCACGCTCCCTCTCTCCCCTTCGTCCTCCTACACTCTTCTTCGCTTCCGCACGCTCCTCCTCCTCCTCCTCAAAATCCCCCCGAGTCTTCCCCTTTCCGCCCCTTGCGCCACCCCTTCCGCCCCCTCTTCCGCCATCGCTACCACCCCTCTCCTCGTCGCTCTCATCGTCCGAGTCGTGCCTCCCCCTGCTGCGCGCAATCACCGGGCGCCCATCTCCGCCTCCCCTTTCCTGCTTCCCCCCTCCCCGCCTTCCCCCGTCGTCCTCCGGTGGACTCTCAGAAGGTCCGCGGCCCTTCCGCTCATCCGTCCGCCCATCTCCCCCCGCGCCCCGCACGTTCCGCGCTCTCCCCTCTCCGCGGCCTACATCGCGCGCGTCCTCGTCACTCCCGCTAGAGTCACCATCGATAGAATCGGGGCTATCGTTTCGCTCCTTACGCCCACGCCTCCTCCTAAAATCTTCGTCCCTCTCGGAATCGCTATCGCTCCTATCGCGCATTGCTAGCGACTTACTTTCGGCCCTGGCTCACAAAAAAAGGTCTCTGTGGCTCACAGAAAGCCGTTCTCTGTGAAGCTCGAAGCCACAACCCGTTAGCGACGGAGCACGTTTTTTCAGTAGGAAATTGTGTTTCGCGATTACGTGTGTTAGGAAGGGACGCAAAACCTAGGAGGCGCGTTGGTGGTGTGGTGTGGATCTGGCTGGGGAATAACAGATAAGGTGGGTGGGAGTCTGGCAGTGTCAAATTTTCACGCGCCTACGGTATACGCTACACTAACATTCTTCACTATAAGGCCCATCGGCCCCAGAGTTCTACAGTAAAAAAATATGTAAAGCCCTTCGAAAGACTGTTATAAACAAGTTGAATCCTCCACCCGTCAGGGAAACGAAAAGTATCAGAGCGAGGTTTCGATCCTCGGACCTGTGGGTTATGGGCCCACCACGCTTCCGCTGCGCCACTCTGATGTGCTTTTTTGGAAATCAAAAATTTACTCGACAATAGTTACAGGGCAGGATCCACCAACCCACTAATGGATGAGTCCTGTCCCGTCAAATAGTACACACATCACGCACAACAACAGACCTTGAGTTATGGAAATCGTGGACATACCGGTAAGCCTACATGTCCATTTTTTATGCTGCATAGTGGGGGCGTCAAGCAGGCCCCACGATATTAGGGCAAAACATCCTGATTACCCTGATTTCAGGATAGTGTCAGGTGTTTTCCCTGCAATTTTAGGATGATGGTATATTTTACCCTGTCACTTCCGGATATTTTCTGTGTTGAGCCCTGAAATTTCAGGAAGGCCATGAGATTTTGCCTTGAAGCATCAGGACGAAGGTATAGGACTGCCCTGATGCATATGCAAAAGGGGAAGGGGTGTGAGGGGGGGAGATGGGGATGAGGGGGAAGGTTCGAGGGGTGTGTGTACTGGTTTTGTCCCCTCCCAAGGATTTCGCTACTTCTCGTCGTACCGTACCACGCATGTGTTGGGCTGAGAAAAGCCCTTAGGATCTTTGCAAGGGTAAACTCTGGGTAGGAATAATATATTAGCGGAAGCCTTTTAATAAAGAGATTGAACCACCTTGCGCTGGTATGTGAGGGCAAAGTTGATTGATTAAAACAAAGAGATACAAGATTATATATGAGTACAAGGAATATGAAAGGATACGGTTATAGCTGTTTTGCTATTGCTGTTGCGGTTCGATACAGTGACGACTCGGGCAACTGCTCTGTAGCGAGTCAGTTGTGTGTCCTTGCTGTCGCGCTGTACTTGTCAGGTCAAAGGTCGCTGACCTTTGACTTTCGCGTAACCTCCAACAGTTACTTTCAACCTCCGAGGGTTGACTCGCCAGTGCTTCGATAAGTTTCGTTTCGCTTGTGCCTTTAGTGTTTCGACACGACAGAGGCGCTTAAAATTCATTGTTTCCAACACTCCCCTTCGCTTCTGGAGTGTCGCTGCTGGTGACGTGGCTCTGTCCAGTCAGCAGCATGCAGTATTCGAACTTCTGCTTTCCGAGCTTCTTGGTCAAGTAGTCAGCTGCCATCTCGGATGTGGGGCAGTATGACAGCTCGAGTCTCCCCTTCTCGATCTCGTCCTTCACGAAGAAATAGCGTAGGGCGATGTGTTTCGTCCTGTTTGCGAAGCCGTTCTTGTTGGCGATGCGAATTGCCGACTGGTTGTCGCAGAACAGGGTGAAGTTGGGTAACTCGGCTAACTTCGCTTCTTCCAGCAGTTCGCGAAGGTAAAGTCCTTCCTTGGTGGCTTTGCAAAGTGCAATGTATTCTTCTTCGGCTGATGAGAGGGCGATTAACTCCTGCTTGCTCGACTGCCAGGAGATAGGACCAATAAGTTCGAGGCGGTAGATGTAGCCGGTGCGCGAGCGTCTGTTGTCGGAGTCGCCAGCGTGATCGGCGTCGACGTAGCCGATTAACTTAGTCGGTGTAGTTGCGTTCTTGTAGTAAGTTAGGCCGATCGTCGGGGTGCTGACGAGGTAGTGAAGAGCGCGGTCGAGCTCCGCCAAATTCTCTACTTCGGGCTTTTTGAGGTGGGTGGCGAGTTGGCTTGCGGAATATGAAAGGTCAGGATGGCAGGTAACAGCTGCGAAGAGGAGGCATCCCAGCTTCCTCTGGTAGTCGCGTATGCCGGCGGGTTTGAGTAGAGCGGATCCTTCCTTGTTGCTTCCTGTCGTATAGCGGTACGGCGTGGAGAGGGCGGTCGGCGTGAGAGCGAAGCGTTTGGCGATGGTGTCGGCGTATTTCGCGGCGCTGAGGTAGATCGCGTCGTCTTCTTCTCGGATGTTGAGGCCGAGGTACTGTGTGACGGTAGATGAAACCGTGAGTGTAAGGTCTTACTGCAGCTCCCCTTCGAACCAGGTGGTGATGCTGTCGGTAGAGCCGATGTAGAGGAGATCGTCTACGTAGACGATTAGCAGGATGTAGTCGGTGTTCTTCGTGAGCCGGTACATGCCTTGATCGTGCGGTAGTTGTTTAAAGCCGATGCGGATGAGGCGAGCGTGTAGGTACTGTTGCCACATCCGCGGGGCTTGCTTGATGCCGTAGAGCGACTTGAGTAGCTGGCAGACGTGTGTGGAGTCCGTGCTGGAGCCGTGTGGTAGCTCCACGAAGATCTCTGCATCGACATGTGCGTAGAGGAATGCGTTCGCGACGTCGATTTGCCGCAGCTTCTTCTTCTTCATGGCGGCGATTGCGAGGAGAATGCGTAGTGAGGTGTGTCGGCTGACCGGAGCGAATGTTTCGGTGAAGTCGCGTCCGTGTTCTTGGTCGAAGCCGCGTACGACCCAGCGCGCCTTAAATTTGTCGATGGTGCCGTCAGCCTTCGTCTTCACACGGAAGACCCATTTTCCGGTAAGAATCCTCTTGTTTCGTGCTACGCCGATAGGAACGACCTTCCAGGTGTTGCGCTCCTCTAATGCCTTCAGCTCCCTGTCCATGGCTTCGCGCCATTTTTCCCTGTGCTCCCCCCCCAGAGCCTGTTGAACTGTCGCAGGCTCCTTAGGAATGGCTGCGCCGTGGACTGCGGTGACGAGCCCAAGTATCTGGAGTCCACTCTGTGTGTAGCGGGGGAGTGTGGTGTCCTCGGGATAAACTGCTTCGTCTCCAGCTTCTGGATCAGGTGCGAAGTTGGGTCCTACGCGTTCTGCTTCGTTGGTGTTGATTTCGGCAGGTGTAACGTAACTGTTGTCGGCGAAGTCGTAGTAGACTTCGGCGTTGATGCTTTCGCGAGGGTTGTCGTCGTCCATCGGGATGTCAATGGAGCAGTAAGGGAGAGGTCGGCTGCCGAAGCGAAGGCTCGGTCTCTACGAAAGCCGTCGCTGCGGTCGGCGTTGCCTTCTTGCAAGTTGGCGAGATAGTATCGGAGGGTGAGGTTCTCATAGAAAATCACGTCACGTGCTGCCACTGTTTCCTTTGTCTCGATGTCGAATATTTTCCATGCGTTGTAATGCTTTTCGATGCCCAGGTGTAGTCCCCACTGTGCGCGTTGGGAGAATCGACCGGCTCGTGCAGATGGGGGTCGGTACTGTACCATGCAGCCAAAAACTCTCAACATTTTTGTGCTGCCCAATTTTCCTGTCCACAGTAGATGCGGTGATGCGTTGTTCGGGAGCGATGATGACGAGAGCAAGTTGTGCAGCATGACGGCGTGGTCCATTGCTTCAGGCCACTGGTGGTTGGGTAGATGCATGCCACGTAGCAGCTTGCGCATGGTGTTCTGGAGGGTCCTGTTCATCCTTTCTGCTACGCCTTGCTGTTGGTGAGCGTAGGGAAGGGAGATGAGCCGCTTGATTCCCCTCTCTGCCAAGTACTGCTTGAACCTCTGTGAGGTGTATTCTCCTCCCCCGTCTGACTGGAAGCTTTTGAGCTTTACTCCCGACTCTCTTTCTGCTACAGGGAGCCAAGCGACGAATGCTTCAAACCCCATATCCTTGCTTGGGAGATTCAGATGCCAAACGTAACGTGTCGCGGCGTCGATGAACGTGATGGTGTAGTTGTATGCGTTTTGTCCGGGCTCGCGGTTGTACAGGATGTCGCTGTACACCTTCTCGAGTGGTGCGTATGCAGGTGCGCTTGGATTGTGATGCGAGACGAACGGCTGATGCGGTAAGTCAGCTTCAGGGCAAGTGAAGCACGTTCCACGGGCTCGCTGAAGTTCTCTGCCGTCGGTCAGTAGGAGTGAGTCCTTGTCGAGCACTCCTGCTCTTATCGTGTTGTTTAACACCGTGTTAGGGTGATGTCCCATCCTTGCGTGCAAGGTACTTTCGCTGGCGCGATGTCCGGGCGAGCGTCGGTACATGTCGGAGTTGGAGTAGAAGCCGGCGGTGACGTTGGCGCCTCGGTGGACATCTCGTCGTGTCGGATTGAGCTGTTGTGCGGGTGTCGGTGGCGTGTCGCTGAAGAAGGGTGGTGCCGTTGAAGGACCAGCGACGGGTGTTGACGTTTCTGCTGCTGCCGTTGTTGTCTCTGCTGCTGCTGTTGTTGTCTCTGCTGCTGCCGATGTTGTCTCTGCTGCTGCCGATGTTGTCTCTGCTGCTGCTGGTGTTGTGTCTGCTGCTGCCGAATGTTGAATCGTTGCTAACGCTCTTGTTCTTTTCGCCTCAGGGATGGTGTGTGAGTACCAGAAGCCGCCGGGGCTGAAGTCTGGATCAAGATCTGGAGGGTGGGTCCAGGAGGTGAAGGTGACGATGCCGTCGCTGTCTGCTGTGCCGATTCTGGGACAAAATCAAGAACAAAGACGTTGTTCTTTAGGATCGCTTTTCCGTTGTAGAGGCCGCCCTTTCCGTGGTACAGCTTGAACTCTTGAGCGGTGCTGTCTGCTTCGAGGTGAATACCCTTCGCCATCAGCTGACTGACGCTCAGTAAGTTGTAGCCGAGGCCTTCTGTGATTAGGACCTTGGACATTTGTAGGATGACATTCGTTTCTCGTGACTGAAGTTGAACAACTCCTTGTCTTTGTGTGCGCAGGTTCTGATTGTTGGCG